CACAAGCAGGGGGAACAGCAGGCAGAGGGAGAAGCAGTCTCCCCACTAAGCAAGGAGCAGGGAGCCCCATGGGGATTCGATCCCAGGACCCCAGGATCACAACCTGAGCCAAATGCAGACACTCAACTGACTGAGCCACCCAGGCATCCCGATTTAAAGTAATTTAAATGAAAATATATGTATATATATGTATATTTTTTTAAGATTTTATTTATTTATTTGAGAGAGAGAGGGAGAGCAGAGAGCCCGACTCGGGCCTGATTCCAGGACCCCGAGATCATGACCCGAGCCGAAGGCAGATGCTTAACTGACTGAGCCACCCAGGTGCCCCTGTACTAGTCTGCTATAATCCATTGTCCTCAGAGCAACCATTTGTTGTCATTTAAAAAAAGCACAAATCAAGTCATGTTGCTCTCCTTTGTCCCTACTCTTCTCCAGTGACCTCCTTTTATACTTATATTAAAATCCTATCCCCTTCACTTGGCTTATCACAAACACACTTTCTGACCTCTGTATTCCTTTCCAGCTTCATGTCATACTGCCCATACTTCGCAAAGCTCTTTGCACAACTAGTTTCTGGTTACCATTCAGGTCTCAGTTGAAAAGTGGCCTCCATGGGTTGTTGTTTTTTTTTTTTAAAGATTTTATTTATTTATTTGACAGAGAGAAAGATAGCGAGAGCGGGAACACAAGCAGGGGGAGTGGGAGAGGGAGAAGCAGACTTCCTGCTGAGCAAGGAGCCCGATGTAGGACTCGATCCCAGGACCCTGGGATCATGACCTGAGCTGAAGGCAGACGCTTAACGACTGAGCCACCCAGGCGCCCCTCCATGGGGTTTTTTAAAAGATTTATTTTTGGTGGGGGCAGAGGGAGAGAGAGTCTTAAGCAGACTCCACACTGAGCACAGAGCTGATGTGGGGCTCGATCTCATGACCCTGAGATCACGACCTAAGCCGAAATGAAGAGTCGGATGCTTAACTGACTGTGCCACCCAGGTACCCCTTCATGGAGTTTTTTTACAGTTAAAGTTTAAATTTAAAATTACCTTTCCTCACTCAGCCTTCCACCATCTACTCACTATTGATTAGATTTTCCTGTTTTATTTCCTTTGTGGAATTCATCACTGTCTGAAAATATCCTGTTTGTTTATTTACCTATCCCACTATTTCCTATTTCCACTAGAATTCTTGAGAGTAAGGACCCTGTCTGTATATTACTATTTCCTTAGCACATAGAATAGTGTTTGATACATAGTAGACCCTCATTAAAGATTTGTTTAGTTAATGAATAAATTTCATTTACTCCAGACCGTAAGAGCCTTGAGGTCAGAGACTGTTTTGTTCAACATTGTACCCCTGCTCCTAATACGGTATCATGTCACATTGCAAAGGACTTAATGAAGTAAAAGTTACCCTTTTTATTTTATTTTATTATTTGTTTTTAATTAACTTATTTAGAGGTACCTGGGTGGCTCAGTCGGTTGGCCATCTGACTCTTGGTTTCTGCTCAGGTCATGATCTTGCGGTTGTGGGATCAAGCCCCGTGTTGGGCTCTGTGCTCACTGTGGAGTCTGCTTCAGATTCTTTCTCCCTCTCCCTCTGCCCCTCCCCATGTGCACTCTCTCTCTCAAGTAAATAAATAAAATCTAAAAAAATAATAATAACTGATTTTATTAAGTAATCTGTTATCCCTAACATGGGGCTTGAAGTTATAGCCCTGAGATCAAGAGTTGCATGCACTACCAACTGAGCCAGCCAGGTGCCTGAAAGTCACCCTTTTAAATGATCAGTTCTGTGAGTTTTGACAAATGTGTACAGTCATATAAACAATACAAACAGTCAAGATATAGAACATAATAAAAGTTTTTTTTTAAGTTAGTATGTTAATCACTAACAAGAATTCAGTAAACAGCTATCAGGATCTGTGCTTTCTGGCCCTGCCAGCTGATCAGCCTAGCCCATTGTTGACATGGTTTATCTGTCATGCAGGTGAACGGGAGGTTGGAACAGAGTCGAAAATGCTGCTATTGGCACGGGAAGATAAGAAACTTCAGTGCTTGGGACTGCAGAGCAGGCAGCCGGCAAGTGGTTCCTCTAAGACTTTTGAACTCTGGGGCATCCTGGATCACTCTGATTTTTGGAAAGGGGTTTTGGAAACATTTCTGCTTGCTCCCTGTGTTCACCTTTTGAGAAAGCTGCAGGAGTAAGGGGCAATAGAGTGTAATGATTAAGAGCATGGAATTTGGAGTAAGGACAACATTAATGTCCTAGCTCTTCCACAATGGCTGTGATATTTAATAGGTTACTTAACCATTCTGAGCCTCAGTTTCCTCATCACTAAACTGGGCATAGTAGTACTCACCTTGTAGGATTATATGATGAGGATTAAATGCTCTACTTCTTTGTGACCTTTAAGTCACTTTCTCTCTGGGCCTTAGTGTGCTGTGTATAAAATGATGAGGTTGTGTAGATTCCCTTCCATATCCAAGGTAACATGAAGCAATTCTGAGTCAAGGACTCATGCATTCAGGGCTCTTGATCAATTAGTGACCAGAATGTCTTTTATGGAAGAATTAGTTGAATTTTCTTCCTTCTGCCTCTGAGGTTTTGCTGGGCACACTGTACTCTTCGTTAAGCCCGGAGTTCCCTGGGATTTGATTTTTAAAATTTCTTTCCAGCTCCTGTCAACCTCACCCAGACAACTTTAATGATTTGGGTTGGCCACAGGTTTTGTATTTTCATTTCTCCTTGTTACTTCATTATTCTAGTGATGTTTCCATTTTCAGAAATGACATTCCAGGAACATCAGTCTTTCTGATTGTATCACCTCTGCACTGCTTTTCCTTCTGAAGGGAAATCACAGGTTTTGTTTGTTGGGCCAGGTTTGGTTTTTTTCTTTCCTTTTTAGAATACTTGAGGGAGAAATGATCAGATTGAGCTAACAGTAGAGAGTAAATAAAAATCTGATGATTCCTTTTTTTCAGGCACATGGGGAGAATTCTAATTCTTTAAATTGCCACTTTATTTAAGCTTGTTTCTTTTCCTACATAGAGTCTCCCTTCAAAAGGTTGTCAGCAGTGACATGAAACAAAATTTAAATGTGTGAATTGCAAGTGTTTCTCAAATGGAGGGTTGTAATGAGAAGCGGGAGGAGAAAGATGTTGGGTACTGAGGGTCCTGTGAGTCAGTGTGTTGAGGGGCAGTAGTCTGGAAACTGCCGCCTCTTCTGGGTGTGGTCGTACATACACTGCCGAAGTCCTTGGGGAGCCTCAGGTTCCCAAATTCCTGGAAGGGGCTCCTCCTCAGTCGTTGCTGAGTACTTTGTTTAGATGCAGAGTGCTTAAAGGGAGAAGAAAGAAAATGTCTCCAAAAATAGGAAAATTTTCTTTTTTTTGGTGCCTGTTTATTTCTGAAAACAAATTAATCTTTAAGCAGCAGTTTTGGCTCCTGCTTATTCCCAGGTGTTCCTCTTTGTTGGCTCAGATGCCTTCAACTGCTGCACTTTTCTCTCTGGCTTCTTGCTGTTGGCTGGGACACAGGATGGAAACATTTATCAGCTGGACGTGAGGAGTCCAAGGTGAGTCACCATTCATTTGCATGATGCAGGTCTTCTACAGAGTGGAAATTTTTATTAGCTTTAACAGTGATTTAGCATGGCATGTAGATGACTGTTGAATCAAGGGTATATTTTTCCATTTATAAAGGTTTTCCGGTGTGAGTTGTCTGATTGTTCTTATTATTCCTGGAATCGTATTAAAAGGTAATTTGATTCATGCTGTCATGATTGTCCTAGTGTAATGATGACTTTGGAATCTAAGCTTAAATAATGAACTAACATTTCCCTTAAAATGATTGTATAGAACTTTTAATTTTAAGGAGCTCAGTAATTTTCTCAGTGGTATTAAATCTGGGTTGGCCTAAGATTGATCATTTTTAGTTCAAGTAAACCAGCTGTGTTTCTTTGTTTGGCTTTGATCATAACCTGTCTGAAACAGGCTTTATTCTGGTCTTAAAGATACCCAGAGAGAATAACACAACCTCTCCATCCCAGGATTTAACTATTTCTCCAATTCTGTCCCTTCCTCCTTCCATTTCCTTTCTTTTGTTCAGTTGACATTTATTGAATGGCTTTTGTGGGGACCAGACATTGTGTAGGGCACTGAAAAGCAGAAATAAAAGATACAGATTCTGCCTTTGAGGCACTTGGAGTCTAACAGTAAAGATGGGCAAGTAAAAGATGTTGGTGATACAGTGTGATTGGTGGGCTGACAGGACTCTACACAGGAATTTGAGAAAGCACTGAGAAGAAGAAAGAAGAAGGTGGGACTGCTTCTCCAAGGAAATGAAGCTTTAATTGGATCTTGTCCAGTAGGAAGTTACCAAATGAAGAGAGGGATCTGCCCTAGGTAGAAGAGCGTATAGAGAAGTGTGAAAATGTGTGGAAGTATGGCACTTTCAGGGATCCTTGAGTAGTTCAATATGACAAATACATACCCTGCAGGCAGGGTAGCAGTGAGAAGTGATGCCATACAGGAAAAGAACTTGCATACATCCGAAGGAGTTTGGACTTTATTCCAAGGGCAGTAAAGAAATTCCAGTGAGCGGGTGCCTGGATGGCTCAGTTGTTAAGCGTCTGCCTTTAGCTCGGGTCATGATCCCAGG